ATAAAATATTATAAGATCAAATAGTTGTGGCTGAAAAGTCAGACCTCAAAAGATTAAATCAAGCGTATTTTCTACCGAACAAGTTTAGGATAAATACCTGCCTCCTCTGTGCACTTCAAGTTTAGAGTACCATTTCGAGGCAGAGGCTATTCCCAATCTCACCCTAAGTGATGGGGAATTGGTTGTTTGGGATCAAATAGTACGGAGCTTTAAGGAGTCTCTGGGAACCAGTAAACTGAGCCAGTTACCTCCAGGGCCTGTGAATTGTGTATGGCTACGTGCTTTAGGTTACTGGTGTTTGGCTTGTAAACCCATTCCTTTTCCTCCGAGTCCATGGGAAGCACGTCTCTGAACGGAGGTGTGCCTAAGTTGGGCTCTCAGTCATGGCAGAGGGGGGTTCCTGTAGTCCCAGCCAGTTCCAGGAGCTCCAACCACCCTGCCCTTGGCACGCAGGATGAGTCCTGGGCAGGTGGGACCTGTTACAGACCCAGCTGAGTGCGGCTGCTGCAAGGACACGCGGGAATTCTAAGGTTTGTAGATGCCACCAAGGACGTTTTGGATGTTGGCAACGGGGATAGCTTTCTCCCTATTAAATTACATGGGGTTTGGATTGAATTTTCCTCTTTATGTTTCCCCCCAACACTGCTAGTTACCATAGCAATGGCTACATGACTTTGTTGTAGTTGTTTTATTTAAATATAGCAAAAGAAATTGCTAGAGCTTGGGATTCTGGCTTCGAAAATTCAATTTAAGAAAAGCCTAACTGCTACTCTGAGTTATAGGTGCACAAAATAGCTTTAGAAACCACAGAGCTTCTACCACAGAAAACCACAGAACCGCACGATCCTATAATTTGAAGAATGGACAAACTTTTTTTGGCACTTCTTGTGGATGGAGGACCAACGTTTAGAGCGAGCCAATGTTTTCAGGCAGTTCATAAGCGGCTGCGAGTAACCCAAGACTCGCTCAGGCTGAACTCCCCCATCCCTGCACGAGGCGAGCTCCGGCCAGAATTAAAGCTGAAAACTTCCCTCCGCCGCGATCATGTGCAGAACTGCAAATCTAAAATGAACTTCCAGTGGAGCTGGAGGGTTTCTAGGCCAGCCTTGTGCTTTGGGGTCTAACAAAGGGGTCTGACAGCACCCTGCTCGCAGGGTGCCGGCGCGGTGCTGGGCTGCCCTGCAGGGTGCTGGGTCTCCCTGGAGAGCTGGGAGGTGGCTGCACCCGCCGCTGGGTGCTGTTTCAGCAGCAGCAGCCTCTGCGTTACGGTGTTTTCTGAAGATGAGTTCCCATGCAGTGCACATCTAACTGACTCTTCTGAAGTCAGCAGGTGAGAGACAAACCGTCCTCAGCGTAGCGAAACGCCCCGCTCGGAAACCCGGCGTGGAATCAACTGGCTTTAAACAGGGACTCCTCTGGATGGGGTCTCGTTCAGAAATTCTTGCTGAAACTTTCACTAGGAACATCGTGCAGGATTTGCTACTTTCTGTACTCAACATGCTCTATCTAATCTGGCAATCTATCTTGCAAGTCTAGTGAGCCCATCACTGTGGTATCTTACAAGAATACATGTGAAGATCTTGTTTACAACGGACTCTACGTTTCCTCTTATCAGGTTTAACTACAACTTCTTTTCTTTTCTTTTTTTTCTTCTTTCCCCAGTGTGTCAAAATCGAATCCAGGATAGGTGCAGATCGAAAGGACAGGTCGTCGCTGCAAGTGCCCTGGGAGGCATTTGGGATTCTGGGTCTTTTGTGTTAATTAGAACAAAATTACTTAAAAGATGATGACCTGATGGTCTATTATTAGAAGCTGCAGAGCGTTGGTGATTTCCTGCTGGGCAGGGGAGGTTTGGTAGATTGGTGGAATCACATCAACGCACCTTTGGATGTACTAATTTAAGGCAATTAAAAGAAAAAAAAGAAAAGAAAAAGAGAGTTGGCAATTACTCATAATAGAATGTGAGAAGAATGAGATCAGCAACTCTTTCTTTCTGCTACAAGATTATCTCAAGATTCAAGAACCTGCAGTTTCCTGTAAAGACCGCACAGAAATTATCATATATGCCCTCCCTTAAGCAATTAAAATAAAGTTGGTCATGAGATTGTTATTAGTGTTTTGTGCCCCCTGTTCCTCCCCACTTTGAGGCCTGTATTTATGTATTTCCATATGTGATTTTTTAAATATTCCTATACAAGAAGACGGCTTTGCCCCGTTTGCAGTTGAGTCACAACAAATCTAAAAGTTTGGAGGACACGACCTGCTCGTCTTTACATAGTGAGCAACCCACAGCAGAGCACATCTCCGCCGTTGGTCTCGATCTGAGAGTTGGTGGGGAACAGGGTGACATGCAGATAGCAAGTGACCTCTCTGAAGACCTCGAGTGAACAGGAGCAGAGGTAGCAGAGGTTCTGCCCCTTACCCCTAGACTATCCACTGGAGCAAAGGGAGACATGGACGTTCCCATGCAGAGGTACCAGAGGAGGGAGGAGGAGCACCCATACCATTGCGGTGGGTGCTACAGAGGAGCTACACAAGTGGTTGTTTTTTTTTTAAAGGGCTGGTGAATGCAATAACACTTATTTCTGCTTGCAGGCACTGTGCAGCGCTCATGCTTTGCGCTGGTTCACCGGCTATAGCTCTTTCACCCTTGTAATTTGGGAGAATACGGAAGTGGCCCAACCAAAGGGCCACCGAGCCCAAGATCCAGAGCCAGAGAAGCATGTTGTGATGCTTCCAAGCTCTCCCCACTGCTGGAGAGCTCTATCTGGGGACCTTCCTGAGCCAGACGTGGGGCCTGTGTGTGCTGTGCACCCACCGCAGCGAGGTGTCGAACCACTGCATCTTTTTTAATTATGTTACGAAAGAGGAGATAGTTTAAGATTGCACTGTATCACTAAAACCTGGGAATGCCTAAGAACACTTCAGGTTCTTCAGAAAGAGCAAGGGCAAAAGCCAGGTGACTATGGCAAGGTAAGGGTAAGAATTCATTTCAGAAATCCTGTTATAAACACCAAAGGACGTGCTGAAATATGAAAATCTTCGGCTATGGGGAAAGAGAAGGAAATACCTAGAACTGTTGCAACAATGAATGTGCTAATTTTAGAACATCTTTAAGTCATCCTCACTTTCTGGAATTAGATTGTGCAATTTTTTTCTAGCAAATAAATGAGTTTTGTTTTTAATGAAGAAATCTTCAATCTCCCTTATATTTCACTTTGAAAGAGCTATAAAAGTGAAATGTGGAACTCATTCTTCCATGTCAATGATTAGAAGCCCAAAATACATCTGTTCCACATGAACAACTGCAGCCTTTGCTTTCACAGAAGAACAGCTATATTTGTAGTTACACCAAATGTATTCCTGTTGATTTCATTCTTGTGTTTTCTCACTTGTAAAGTCAGAAAAACATCACAACCTTGATTAAAATCGAGCTCCGAGTGTCCAGATGTTAAGGAAAAACGCTGATATTAAGCTGAGGCTGCATACTTAATTAACAGTGATTTTGTTTGACAAGTATCAAGGCTCAGCACTAAGCTGTAGCTGTAAAAACAGAGGATCCTCATTAGTGTTTCAGAGTAATTGCCCAGATACACTGTTTGGACTTATGATGTCATCTACAGCTGCGGAGGAGCTTTTGGAGGGGCGGCTCCGTTCGACTTGTTGCAGTTATTTACTGCTCCAGCTGTTGCAGTACCCAGTTGGTTTCAAATGGGTTTTCAGAATCTGGATTCCTGGCTAACTTGTTTTCCTCCAAAATAGTAAATATCTTTCTTCACTCCTGCAGTCTAGGTGAGATTCAAAATTATTGAGGGGATTTCAGGTTTTGGGAATGAGTTATGAAGGTCTTTTAACCTGTGTCGTGAATGTATGTTTAAATTCCACTACTGTTCTGTTGGAATTCTGCACTGAGCTCTTGAGAGCAAGGATAATTTATGTACAAGAATGCCTTAAAATAAGCCTCCGTAATTACAAAAATGCAGTGTTTAAATTTATAGTAAAAACCCACACACTGCTGGCAAAACTATAACTGCATCTGGAAAACATTAAGGATGCTATTAAAATAGTCTAGCATAAACTAGAAATGAGACTGAAATTACAGTGTTGCTTACTTAACCATTTTTAGGAAGTGTATTTTGAATATGATCTACTTTCCTATTTGATTTTTTTTTTGATAAAACGCAGTACTGTATCTTGTTTACTGCTGAGAATGAATTATGTGCTCTGTTGTCTATTGGAGAAAAATCTGTAGCTCAGATTTTTTTAAGCGTCTTCTCACAGTTGTTGATAGTTTAAAACATAACCAGGTGGTTGTTGGTGCAGCCATCAGGGAAAGAAGTAACAGGGAGGTCCCAAAGGAGAATAAAAATCCCAGCAATTAAAAACTTGTTTTATTAAAAAGATGAAATGTTTTCAAACATTGAAAAATCACGTTTTTATAAAAACAGAAATAGGCAAAATACCCATTTGTCTTCTATTTACATATACAATATTTCTCACGGTATAAAATTATTTACAATATATAAAAAACTTACAGTAAAATAGGTTATTTTCTTACAAGACATCAAGCCCTGTACTTCTAGTGTAGATCATGGCAAACAAGAATATTATTGCACCTGTGAAACAGACAGTCTAACAATAGGAGTGTTCTCTTAGCCATGCCTTCAACTGAGATCTAAAATAACATCGTTAGCTACAGTAACATTCATTTAATCTCTTCTAGGGTCAACTTCAGGCAGTTTCCATACAAACATTGTCTTGTAAAGCTTAGGACTGGGCAGTTAGAATCAGGAAAAAAAAAAAAAAAAAAGATATTTACAGCTTCTTCTATACAATCTGTATGGAGTCTTTCGGAGTTTACCCTTCACAGAAGCTGCATAAATAAACCCTATTCTCCCGCCCGGGACGGGCAGGTTCACTGATACAGTCACGTCAAATTCTCTGCAGGAGATGACTGGCTAAGTCTCCTTGTGTCAAATCCTCCTCGTTTTCCATCGCTAGAGCGTCGGTGCCTCCCTACGTAGTACCAGCTACAAGTTTTTAACGCTTCTGCACCTGAGCAGTTAAATAACGTCCGCTGTCGGCAGGTCGGAGCCGCTGGGGCTACATGTGCCGTTTCATGTGCAAAGCCAGGTGGTCCGACCTGGAGAACGCCCGGTCGCAGAGGTGGCACTGGAAGGGCCGGTGGCCGGTGTGCTTGCGATAGTGACGGGTGAGTTCGTCGGAGCGAGCGAACTCCCAGCCGCAGCCTTCCCAGTTGCAGTGGTAGGGCTTTTCACCTGTTGGAGGAACCACAGAGAGCGTGACTCAGCGCGGCACTCCCACGTACGGGCAGCATCACATGCTGGGCAACCTTCCGAGTTTATCTCAGCATATCCTTTTATTTGCTACCAAGCCCTTCTGCAACAAGACCCAAGTGCTTTTAAGCCAAATGGGACTGCTCTAGCAATTCCTCTACTAAGCTGTTCCCCTTTGGAGAAAGGATGCTGGAAGCCCTTAGAAGAGCTTCTACCTACGTAAGCATAGGAAAACACTTAGGTGTTACAGATCTGACCACCTGTCGTAGCTACACCATGAATACCCCTGGAGTTTAAGAGACTACAGGGTTAAAGCTTAGGCTGCAAACTGTTTTACACAGGCAGCTGTTGCAAGCAGCACATCTCCAGATGAAGGCAACCAGTGGTATTTACCTGTGTGCGTCCTGAGGTGGGCCTTCAGGTGCGAACTCTTGGTGTAAGTCTTCCCGCAACCCGCGTAGGTGCACGTGTGAGTGGCCGTCCTCTTCCGTGGCCAGGACCGACGTCCTCTTTTTGGTTTGGAGTCCAGCAGCTCCAGAGGAGAGGAAGGAGGGGTGAGCATGCCTCTGGGAGCGGAGGGTTGTAAGGGCAGGTTGTCCTCGAAAAGACCAAACTGGGAGGTGTTCTGGTACTGGAGATGGGGCTGCGGATGGTGGAAGCTGGAGGCCGGGTGGTAGCTTTGCTGGAAGGACACGGAGGAGGGGCACATCATCTGCGTGTGGCAGTCATTCACCATGAGATCGTCAGGGCTCAGCGGGGGCGTCTCTGCCCCAGGGATCTGGGGGGAGTTGGCCACCCGGGGCTGCTCGTAGGCCATCATGCAGGTCGCGTTGCCCTCCTGCTTGATCTTCGGGCAAGCCTGGGGCACCAGACCCAGGACTGGTCCATAATTGTCCATGTCAGGCTCGGGCTTAATGTTCTCAACAAACTGCGGGCCCCCGAAGCTGGGCGTCACGAAGAACCGCCCGTGGACGTTGCCAGGAGGGCAGTAGTTGGAGTCCATCTCGGAGCGGATCATCTCCGGCACGATGCCGGCGTTGTAGGGCGGGGGACTGCCCTGCTCCAGGGCACTGTAGCATCCCGGGGACGGGTTTGTCTGGTAAAAGCCACCGCTCTCCCCCTGGGCTGGGGGGTAGTCCCCACCGGCTGCGCCCTGGCCGTAGCTGTCGCTGCCCATGGAAAGGATAAAATCCAGCACGTTGTTGAGGTCTTCATCCTCTTTGCGCGGGGAGAGGCCACCCCAGGTGCCGGCGGGGGTCTTGGCCTCCTGCTCGCACTTCCACCTCTGGGGAAGAAAGAAAAGGGAGAA